TCTGAACCCGAGGAAAGACATGCTGGCCGTCTTCGTGAAACAATTCTCAAAGCTTGACCTCAACGACAACGGAAAGGTCAATAATTTTCCTTCCTTCTGCTCTGATAACTGTTCGGTCCTCCGCTCCTCCACCTTCTCCCCTCCCCTCGCTTCCTCTCCCTTCCACTATCCCCTCGCTTCCCCTCTCCTCCCATCCTCTCCCACGATCTCATCCACTCACCTACTCATCCTCTTTCCCTCCTCCTTTCCTCGTCTTCTCTCCGTCCTTGTGCTGCGTCTGAACTCTCCGCGTCCTTTCCTCCCGTCCCTCAGGTCGATGAAGATGAATTCCTGGCAAGGTTTGGCTTCGGCCCCTTCGCCGACCCTGAGCTGCAGGTAATTCCACACCGACTCCCTTGTGTGTTCCGCTCCTGCTGCTCCTCCTGCCCCTGCTCCTCCTGCACCTGCACCTGCACCTACTGCTGCTGCTGCTGCTGCTCCTCCTCCTCCTCCTCCTCCTGTCCTACCCCCCTCGCTTCTCCTCCCTCTCCTGCTTCTGGTGCTGAGCAAGGCTGCAGGTCCGCATGGATCGCCTCAAGTACGAGGCGCATAAATCTCCTCGAGCCCGACGAGCGAGGTCATGAGGAGACGATAGAGGAGAAGAGAAGCAGAGGAGGCAGCAGGGGAGGGAACAAGAGGTGGAAGAGGAGGAGGAGAGGAGGGGAGAGGACAGCAGGACAGCAGGACAGCAGGACAGCAGGACAGCAGGACAGCAGGACAGCAGGACAGCATGCGAGGAAAATGGGTATTGGTCGAGAAATGTAAGTAACAATATGAAGGGTGTAAGTTTGTAAAATTTGACAAGATAAAAATGAAGATAAAGATTAATATCAAATGATGAAGATTGAATGGTAGGATCTGAGGCTGAACGGTGTTAGAGAGGGAGGGAGGAAGAGGAGGGAGCAGAGGTAGAAGGGAGATATTCAAAGTTACATGTCAGAACTTTCTTATCTCAAAACGCCGATATCCCTTGATTATGTGCTTTCTAGCGAGACATCTGAACAGCTCATCGCGTCTCTACTTGCGTCTCCTCCTCCTCCTCCATCCTCATCCTCGGCACGGAAACTTGATGAGATCTGATCGCTTCGCGCCTCCTCTCGCTGTCTTGGTCCTCTCGTACTCTCCGTCTAGCCGCGGGTCGAGCACGAGAACCTGCTGGTCGGTTACTTGCGAGAGAGAAAGAGAGGGAGGAGGGGGA